GCGAAATATTTTCTGCCGTGAAAGGGGGAAAAGTGGCTGCAGGGAATAGCGGGTGTAGCAGGTCACAGTTTGGAATCTCGGGCTTTTATTTGGTTGTTTTAAAAAATAAAACTAAGCTATATTCTTCTCTCAATTTCACCTTTCACTATGTACCTCATCTTTTGCAGTGAAAGTACCTATGGTACCAGTTCATATTTGGTTACCTGAAGCTCATGTAGAAGCACCCACCCGCTGGATCTGTTATCTTAGCAGGAATTCTCTTAAAATTGGGAACTTATGGTTTTTAAAGATTTTGAATACCAATGTTTCCAGAAGCTACTCTTTATTTCACTCCTTTCATTGATTGCTGTAATATATACTTAACTACATTAAGACAAATCGATCTTTCTTCTTTTTTTTAGTATCCTTGTGGCCCAATGGACGATCAGCTGGCAGTAGACAACTGACGATGTTTGCCTGCGCAATTTCTCGCCGACCGTCGAAATTGAATAACATGCGAAATCGTGCAGGCATACTACCGGCATACTGGAAAAAAAAGACGATTTCGGGCCGTCGGTCCTGCAGATCGACGGCTCAAAATCGCCCTTTCTTTTCCGAATCACAGGGCTTGTAAGGCCTCCGCGGAAAAAAAAATTTGGGGCCGAAGGACCCCATGTTCCCCTACCGCCCCCCGGGCCCGGCTCCAGGCCAGTTTGGGATTTTTTTAGGTTGGCGCAAAAAGCGCCTAGGACCCCCCACCCGGTCATCACGCCCGGCCGAGCACCAGGGCACCTTCCCGGGCAGGGACGTGGTACCTGGGCGCCTGGGATCTCACCCTAGAGAAAGGTATAACCTTTTGTTTTTGCTACGGGCAAAGGGACACCGAGGGTTGTTATTTTATGGCCCGTTTCAGGCCACGCTCTCACGAGGACTTCCCTGGATGCATCTGACCGTTTTTATGGCTACTCATAGATGTATCTGAACATAGCAATGTCCATATCAGTTGAAACCTGTTTCGAGGAAACTTCTGTTTGTTTCCCGTTCTTGTCTGTATTGTGTGTTTTTTTAACGTTTTTTGTTTTGCTTCATTTTTGCCTTTTTCCCATTTGCCGTCCACATGCTTTGCACTTTTGCGCAGGGTCTCTGTCCCTTCACTTTCATTTTGTGCCGTTTTGCCACTTTCGCGTCTTTTCACTTGCCCTCTGCGGGGTGGTTTCCAGTTGCTGCATTGAATCCTGAACCCGAGTTGCATTGGAGTAGACGGTCTAGGGTTCTTCGAATACGAAGGACACACCAGTGGGATGTGGAAGAACGGTACACAGGTCATGAGCTCAAATGGCCTTGGAATCCGAGCTAGGGGATAACTCTCTTTTTTTTTCACGAGCTCAAATTGCAGGGGAATCCGATGTTAAGGGGCCAACCCCCTTTCGTAGAGAAAAAGCAAGTACACAGGGAAAACGGCGTCCCCTCCTCACCGAAAAAAGGAAAAGGGCTCCCAACACAGAGAGTACATTGGAGTTCTCTCTCATGGGGGCAAGTTGTCTTTGGTCCTCCCCGTTTTGGGAAGTGTCACAGGGGTGTTCCCCAGCTGTGGCCGCATAGCATATCACACTTGCCCCGTATTGTACCACCTGGCGCATGTATGATCGCCCCCCTACCCCACGTTGTGCCACCCAGCAAACATAATGCCAGTCCGCATAGTAGAACCCGACCCACATGGTACCCACGCCTATGGTACCCCCCGTCCCACTTAGTATTACCCATGCCGCATAACACTACCCGGCCCATGTGATACCCCCTCACGGTGCTGCGGTGTGCTCGTTTCTTTAGCTGTGTGAGAACAGAGCAACAGATAGAGGGGTGTCTTGGACCGCCATGTGCACACATGCAAGAGACTGAGAGAGAGAGAGAGAGAGAGAGAGAGAGAGAGAGAGAGAGAGAGAGAGAGAGAGAGAGAGAGAGAGAGAGAGAGAGAGAGATTGAATTGAATGACGGGCACATTTGTCTGTGGCCATTGGCCACGGCGCGCCTCGACTTTTTTTTCCTTTGTAAGTTGTGCAGTGGGGGCTAGTAGCCCTGCAAACAAAGGACGACCTCTAATCAGTCATGCTCAGTACGGCAGTGGATGGGAGGTTTCAATCAAATAACCTCCAAGTTGTGCTTTTCTCTGGTGTAACCTTCACTGTCACTGTTGCTTAGTATACGACTTGACCAGAAAAAAGTGCGGCAGCCGGCAGCAAGAGAGCACAGAGATTTCTGATCGTTTTCATCAGTGCCAATTGAACTCAGTCAGTTGTTTTCCTTCTTTTTTTTCCTTCCCGAAACCGCATGGACTAGGCTTGTACGCGGGCATGATGATGCTGATCCTCTTCTTCTCGTTTTGATCTTAGGGAATGCCCCCACACAGCAGTTTTACCGGCCAACAAGCCAGTTTGTCTTTTCTCTTTCCTATGGAGGTGCTTTTGTGTTTGGCATTCTTCTTCTTTTTTCCACTTTGGATGTGGATGATCATCATGCTGGTGGTAGTGGATGCCATTCTGATGGTCTTTTTTTTTTTCCTTTTTTTGGAAAGTTGGTCAATTTTAATATTATTTTATTACATTTTGCTGTTTTGCTATGACAGCTGGCATGATGTCATTAATATGATGAGATGATTTTTGTGCGGAATGTTTGGACCGGACTTTTAGGGTGCAAGCACGGAGAGGGAAATAGAGCAACACGGCGCCGCCTGGACAGGGGACCCTGGCAAATCACATGGACATGATGTACTCTTATCTGGCACCAAGCGAAGCCATCCACCTGAGTGCCTGACCGACGAAGACACAGCGCAAAGACCTGCGAAAAGGGGAAAGAGAGAAGGTGAGAATGCATCACTTCCTAGAGTGCTTATTGACGGGTCAAGTGTAAAGATAGAGGGTTGCATGGATGCTGGTTTGTGCGGGCCAAGGGGAAAAGCAGGGTTGCTCTCAACTTGCCTATCAAAGACTATGAACACGGCCGCTCATGGGCCTGGGTCCCAGTTTGAGACAGCAGAAATGCACAGACTACCCATTGCAGGTGTTGCTGGCAATACAGAATTACGAAGAAGTTGCACTGAGACACCAGTGACAAATTGTTCCTCTGGAACTGCTATGGTTGCAGGTGCTCTATGTCCTCGTCAGAATGATGCGCCTACTGCCCTGTCCGGTTATACTGCAGCACGTGTGGCAGAAAAGGTATCAGCCAGTAAGGAAAGCTTAATGATAGACTGGGTGCCACCTCTGTGTCCCAAGGAGGAAAATGATCCAGGTGCCAATGATAATCAGCTTGGCGGCCGGGGCGGAATGCAGCTCTCGACTATGGCTGGTGCTGGAGGAACAGAAGCCCACACGCAATGTACACCTTTGAGGAGGCTTTGTGTCCCATCTGGGCCCAGCTATGCGGAGGCCCGTGGTCAGGTAAAAGCAACAGAAGGTTTTTCAATCCCTCCTCACGCAGAGGCTGCTGTACATCTGCAGTCCAATGAACGACAGCAGCAAGGTAATGGTGGTGATAGCATGCATCCCAAGACAGCGCTGTTGCCAAACCAGAACCCATTGAACTTCCGTCATCAGTCTCATGGGAAGTGGCCAGTAGGTTCTACGTCAGGAATGGTGCAATCTGGTTCTGGACAGATCCCGGCAGGCGGCGCAATAAATCCTTGTCTCCTTCGACCTTCCCTTGCTGCCACTTTCGACCATTTGTCGTCCGTGTTTGTTCCAGCAAACGGCGCTTCCTCAGCTGTGGGCGATAACAGAGCAATGCAGTCGGGTGATTCAGCCTATGTTGCTGTGTCAACTAGGCCGGCTGCTGCAGACCACCAGGTTGGTCCATCTCAGCCAAAGACAAGGGGGGTTAAACCAAAGGGAGCTGGAGCCAGGGCTGCCCCAAAKAAGCCCAGGTCGCAGGTGCCGCCTCGCAGGAGCCGAAAGTTAGAAGCAGCCACTGCGCCGAAGGTCTCGGACCAACCAGATACTGTGAACAATAGCAGCATTGGTGGCGAAGCAGTAGCTTGTTATGCTGATGGCTCGGTGGTTGCAGCTGCGGGTTCATTGAAGCAACCAGAGGACCGTGGTGCTGCTGCCAATAACAACTCCACCAAGGCAGAGAAGAAGCAGGGAATGAAGGAGGCGAAGAGTCCAGCTGCAAGGCGCCCACGATCACAGATAAACAGGCGAAACAAGAAAGAGGAAGTTACTGCAGATGGGACTGTGGAAAGTGATAATGCTCCCGAGGACATCAAGCAGAAGATTGTTGGAGCCGCAACTGGGGCCTCGTTGACATACAGCTCATCAATGCCAAGTCCATCGTTGGCTGGGCCCCAAAAGACCCATCTTTCAGCACCAGATCTGGTCAGGACATCATTGTCAAAGCAGGAGGCTCTTGACAGGGCAAGAGGCAATCCATCGAAGTCGCGCGCCCAGAAAGGAGCGCAGTCCGCAAACGCTCGTTCAGCAACACCTGGATTGGCAATTGCCACTCTCGACGCAGGTAGCGGTCTGCTCCTGCCAGCGCATGCTGTTGGGCAAGGGGGCACCTCCTTGGAAGTGGCAAAGGCACAAGATCTGAACAAGGCAGCTGCGCTTGATGCCGCTCTCAAACAAGGACAGGTGAAAACTCCGAACAAGAAGCAGAATGAGCCAAAGCCTGGTGTCGGCAGAGGGTCCGGTAAGAGAGGTGGAGGGAAGGCGCAAGCCAGAGCATCACCACACCACCCTGCAGTTACACCTGTCGGGCAGGAGGACAGGGCGCGTGAGAATCCATTATCTGGGGAGAATCAACAGTGCGCGAGAACAGGAAACGTGGGCGACATGCTGAGCATGCAGACGGAATTGCAAACGGACTGTTTGCAGGGCGGGCCTCCTGGCAGCAACTCTCAATCTGGGGTATGTAAGGAAAACATGGTTTCGCCAACCGGAAATCGAGGTAGGGGAAGAGGGAGAGGGATGGGTAGAGGGCGTGGCAGGATGAGAGGGGCGGTGTCTGATAGCACAGGGCTTGTTAGCCTTCATGGTGTCCAGCCAGTGGGTCCATCTGCTCTACAGCAGTCTGGCCAACAACTATGGGCATGTAATGGACGACAAGAGGTCCCAAGGGTCGAGACAGGAACTGGCCGAGGTGGGAAAGGAGCTGTGAATCCCTTGCGGAGGCAGGCACGGAAAAGGAGCCAGCAAGACACAGCTTGTTCTGATCCGTGTTCGAATGGTGACAGTCAAATCGGTAAGCAGGCAGAGCTGGCGGGTTCAAGTAAACCTGCTGCCACTGGCGTGATTGGTTCCGTAGCACCTGCCAAAAATGATTCTGGGCATGAGAAAGCAGATGTAGGGATTTTCTCTCCTCCTGGCAACCTTGTCGAAACGTCTACGCACAGCAGCGCAAGGACTGTGATCTCTGCCGCCCCTATGAGTGCTGCTGTGTTGGCTGAAAATGCGGTGCTGAACAGGGCAGCAGAGCAACTCGATCCCAGTCCTCAGAAATTTTTCCTGGGAAACCTCAGAGGGCAGAAGCGGGTTGGCGCTCCAAGTGGACCGTGCAATGGTGCTCCTACTGATGGGTTGCTTAATACTGGCAACGATAACAACCCGAGCTTTCGTATGGGAGTGCCGCCTTCTCCTTGTGCTCTTGCACAGACGTCACATGCGGCTCAAAACCTGATCTGCGACGGCACGCCATGCTTGCCAAGTACCCCTCTTGTGCATAAACCATGAAGATAAGCACTGTAGAAAGTTCAGCAGTCGCTCTCTTACAGCGGAGCGCTTGTCAGAGTTGCAGGCATCCTTCTTTTACGTTGCCCCCCCCCCCCCCCCCYCCCYGGGGGRGTTGTTTTTTGGGAGTGTGCAAGCTGGTCAGGATGGGGTTGAGTTCAAACTCTTCAGAGCCTCAGTTTATAACCTTAGTTGGCCTGATGGTTTCCTCAGTTCTGGTTTATGTGTTTGCACGTTGGCGGCAGAACACTGGCTTCGCTGGCATACTTGAAAATTCTTAATCTCAGTTTGTGGAAACGAAGATGTACCCGCAAGTTTCGACTTTTCAGAGCGCTTGTCAGAACTGCAGGCATCCTTCTTTTACCCCTCCCCTTGGGGAGTTGTCTTTTTGGGTTTTGGGAGTGTGCAAGCTGGTCAGGATGGGGTTGGGTTTCAGACTCTTCAGAGCCTCAGTTTATAACCTGAGTTGGCCTGATGGTTTCCTCAGTTCTGGTTTATGCGTTTGCACGTCGGCGGCAGAACACTGGCAAATTTTGACTTTTCAGAGAGAGAATGGAGGCTAGGCAGGTGAAGAAGGTGGTCAAACTAATGCTTTGGGAGTTATGATGGGCTGTGACTATGCCAATACATCTCCCAGGATGTAAAGCAGCCTCAGCGAATCTCTGGTTGAAGGTTATGGGAGCGTTGAAGGGTGTTCGGTGTTCGGTGTTCGGTGTTGACCAAGTCTCGGCAGGCGAAGAACATCGTGAAATGGATCATGCTAAGGCTTTGCGAACATCCTTTTAAAATTGGAACGACGCAGAGAAGATTAGCATGACCCCTGCACAAGGATGATGACGAAAGAGAAAGTCCAAGGCTTGGGGAATTGTGAATGGTGGCGATTGTCGCTGTGTACCACCAGGGATGTAAAGCATCCTGCAAGTTTGTGCAGTTCTGAAGAGTGTGTTCATGTCTCAGCAGGTGAAGAATAACAGGATGAGACTAAGGTCCTCGCTCCACTACTCGACACATATGCATGAAAGATAAAAAATATGGTGATGTATCTTTCCATGTTCTAGCGGAAGATTTCATTCTCATTTTGCACATGTTGTGAGGTAGCGGAGCGAGGTCCTAAGGCTGAGCGCCGCCAGGCATGTAGAGCAGCCTGCAAATCTGTGCAGTTTTTTTAATAGTGTACATGATAACAGAAGGGAAGCATGTCTATCGACCTTGATGCCCTGGCTTATGGGCACTTGGAGAGAATTTATGTTATGTCTGGTTGGGAAATGATGTCCACTAGAGATGTTTTTTGCTAAGATGGGATTAGTGTCTGATGATCTGTGAAGAGTGTTCACAGTCATTGCGATGCGTTGTGTTGTCCGCTTAGAGGATGTATATCCAGAGGCGTTTGTGTGTGAAAATACTATGTGCCACAGTGGGGTGAAGTGAGAAACAAAATTGACAGAGTGGGGGACATACTGGTGCTTTTCTGCAACTCTTCGGACTTTTCCTTGTTCAAAGATGATTTGCCTCTCCTGAGGGATCCGCAGACTCGGCGAGAGCAGAAGGGGAAGGGGGAAGTGTGTCCCTAATTTCTGGACTATGGTGACCCACAGGTGGTACTCACTGAAAATGTTTCAATAAGTTCCAATTTGGAAAGAAAGAAGGCAACTACTCTTCATGCCTTTCAAATTTTGCAAGTTCTGCAGGTGCCCATTGAGTGACAGATTGACAGTTTTTGTCAGTCTTTCTGTCTTTGGTGCCTGCAGGGAACTGGCTTGTGCTTTGTGGAGATGGCTGTCCACCCCCAGTCGTGGATTCCGTGCCACAAGATAACCTCTTTATGCAACCTCCCTGTAGTGCCCCTTCCTTGCTGCCTGTGAGGGTTCAAGTGGGATTTTGTCTATGGACGCTTCTGTGCAAGTTGTGGAATTCATGCTGCTGTGTATTATTACCTTTCATCGACTATCAACAACTATCTACTAATAATCCTCTAAAATTTTCTATCCACGGGTGCCTCTATGCGCACGGAGCCCGCTGGCTCTCGCGGGTGTCGGATGGTGGCATAGTGAGATTGGCAGTCGAAAATGAGAGTCAGTGCCCTTTTCCTTTTTGTTGTTTGGCCATATATGTATGCACGCAAAGCAGTGAAATCTTTTCTGATGTTGTAAGCATGCAGTGTGACATGTGACACGTCAGATAGAAACGTTGCGGCGCTCATTGCTTATGAGATGTTTCGAGACGTCAGTCGTCATGTCGGAAGAGTTGACGTCCTTTTTGTTTTTTGTTCGAATCGCATCGTCTCGAGCGTCGCTGTTAATCAAAGAAGCTGCGCTGCAGTGGAGGTTTGAAGTTTGAACCCTCAGTGCGCGGGTGTGCTATTGTCGATTTTTCTGAAGAAAAACTGTGATTCACGGCATTGTTGATTCGCGTATGGTGTGCTCTTGATTTCATCACCCAAAAATAAAATAAAATTGTGTGGCCAAAAGAAAAAAACTGTGTGGCGGCAGCACGACAAATGTGTGCTGATGGTGTTCCTGATTGTGCTGCTGATTGGCGGCAGCACGGCAATGCGGCTTGTTAGCAGCCCCTAAGCTGAGCTCGGTCTCTGTGGATGCACACATACTATGCCATTAATGTGTCACTCCTTGCCTACAATTGCAAAACTTGTACTGTTTCTGATTTTGCAGACATTGTCCACTGGATAGAAGAAGAACACCGTGCCGTCTGCCTGGAGGACGACCGTACTGCACGCGCCGTGAACATAGGAGTCCTGTCTATGGCATTTATGCGTAGGCGACGACAACTCCAGCCTGCTCCGCAAAATTACGTGCCAGGCATGGATCCGAATATTCGGGCATACATCTTACATCACCCAGGTCATTTCAGTGCTCTTACCTTTGCAGATAACTCATGGACCCTATGGGTCCAATGGCGGTAGGGTGCATGCAGCGGGAAATATCAACTCTTTCTATCACCAAGCGGTAAAACATCACTTGGTCTGGCTCGTCCATCAGGTACAGTATGATGATGAGCACTCACAAACACTACTGCCTCCGGAGGGCAGTCGAGCTGAACCTCCTCCTTCCCCTGTCCATGGTCAGGGAGCATCCTGTCCCTGTGTGGATCGGATGGATTCTACCACGAACAGTGAAGGGACTCTCCAGGGGATGGAGACTGTGCCCTCCTCCCATTGTGTCGTCGCACAGGTACAGTCCAGTCAGCATGTGCACGACATAGCCTCTGCTCCGAACACTATGAAGGGATCTATTCTGCGCCGTGCTGCTTGCTATGGAGGTAAACTGTTTCATTGTTGGAATGGGTCATCTCAATCTGCTCCATGTAGCTTGCTACAGAGGTAAACTGTTGCATTGTTGGAATGGCACATCTCAAGTGTGCTGCATTGTCTGCAATAGAGGTAAAGCTGCATGGATTTCCGATCTACTCATCTGGGTGGAACAGGGGCTGTTGTGGTGAAAATCTACAACCCACATCCATGGCTGAGTGGGTGTGTAGAGTGGGTTTTACGGCTATGACAGACTAGTTTCTCTTTTCCTTTCTTTTTCTTTTTTTTTTAACAGCTGAGTGGGTGTATAGAGTGGGTTTTACGGCAATAGAGTGGGGAGCAACACATGCTGGGAACCGGGCCCAGCATCCCTCATCAAGATACAGAAACAATTGAAATATTGTGGCCATAACCCAGCTTCGGCTGAAAACAGTTGACGAGAGATTAAGAAAGTTGAGAAGAGGTATCCTCCCCTAAAGTTTCACCTATAAAAAAAACAGAAAAAGAAGAAGAAAGTTGAGAACATTCTAGGAAAGTCCATGCTCAACTACTAATAAAGCTCTGCTAACTCTCCCACACCCACTCAGAAAAAATCATGCTCAACTACTAATAAACCTCTGCTGTGCGTGTTTTTTCAGCAAGTTTGATGTCCGTCATGGCTTCCATCACCTTCTCGTCAATTTGGAAGATCGTCCAGAAAATGACCTTCGTCCTTTTTGAAGGGACCTGGCAATGGATTCCATGCGCAATAGATATTTGTAATGCACCAGCCACGTTTCAGTGCACGATTAACATGACTTTAGAGAACTTCGTGCGATAAACGCAGCTGGCGCAAAGCATCATTAATTACTGTGTAGTTGTATATATGGATGATATTCTGGTGTACTCAAGCACCTACGAGGGACAAAATTAGTTGGTAAGTTACTATAGGGTCATACAAAGCATGACAAACGTCGGGCAACCGAGAGATCTCAGGACTACCGATGGATTAACGGTCATTTAGAGAAGAGTGTAAAACAGACGGATCAAGATTATGGTTGACGGTTTCACACCCGTTCCAACGGTACGACCCGATCCGCTCATGAGGAATATGCTGCTCACTTTGCGATACGTGCCACGAAAGGAACTATCGAGAACGGTTCTGGTCTAATAATCGTGAAGATGTTAGTCACATGGTTGGTAACTGTGTAGTCTGTGTTGCCGGTCGGGCACTGATCCGCGGTCCAAACACAATAGTTCCGACACAGGTAGAGCACCTTTTCCAACGTGTCAGCGTGGATACTGCAAATATTGACGTGCCACCTGACCCTAACCATTGCAAATATTCGATTTTATTGGTTTTAATTAATCATTTTCGAAGTACATAGAAATTAACCGTGCAAGACGCGTAAGGCCTTGGAAATAGCTACCTACATCGATCGATTCCTCAATACCCATCTAGATACAGAAGAGATCTTAACCGATAATGGGTCAGAGTTTAAGGCTGAGGTAGAGTAACTGTTGACACGTACAGGCGTTACCCTTCGACATACTGCCCCACATGTCTTCCCAGTCCAATGGATTCGCGGAAAATGCAAATAGCATCATCAAAACCGCCCTACGACGGAATCTAGCGGCTAATCAAATGCGACCCTAACCCGAGATTGTGTACCAGATCATTGGAATTCGTCGGACCACCCCTCACAAATCGAGAGGATTCACCCCCTTGGGCCCCTTCCAACTATGGACCAATAGTATTCCCGTGACATCAACCGAGATGTCTCGGAAAATGCCGAGCGGGCGAGCGTTCCTTAAGGCCAAGGCCAAAAAGCACGCCGAATTAATAGAAAAGGTCGTCCCTAGCTTGGCCTGTAAAGAACAAAGGATAACCAAGTTGGCCCATTGTAGACAAGTCCGCAGTTATGAGGCCCGAAATGGGAATGCGGACCCTCAAATCCAATATAAATTAGGGGACCTCATGCAACTACGTAAATGTGCACGCGATCAAAAACTCTCCCAAGTTTTCTGGTTGTTTTCGCGTAGTGGAACTCGGTCCCAACGGGGTGGATAAGGGGCGCATCGCTCTGAAAACGGGCGTAAATCATAACTCCCGTCCTATCATCCGCCATATCTCCTACCTTTCGCTCCCTTCTTTCCCTTGATCCTCTCGCTCTTTCTTTCTCCTCACTCTCTAGCAGAGATATAGATCTTGCTCTTTGTTCTTCTTCCTCTTCTAATATCCTTTGCTCTCAGCCATCACCATGAGTTTTGCACTTGAGCTGATCATCTTTGCTGGACTTCTCAACCTCGACCGCCCCTGCAGTTTACAAAGTAGTTCATCCACGCTCAACCCCGATATACTGCGATTCGTGCAATTATTCGACCAACAAGCTAGGTACATAGCGGTGCAGGTAACGATCTCGACGGAACGTGGTTCTGCGATGATCTTGGTGGAGGCATCAACATTTTTCTGTTTCTCTTTGACCAGGGCAAAGTGATATAACCGTGATAGTCATATTCAGTGGCGATCTTTGAGGTATCGGCATCTTGGCGGAGTGAAACCGTGGAGAGATTGTATGGGTGGAGGTGTGAACTTGTGGCGGATTGGCGGCAACATTTGGCCAACCCATGCGAGCAGGTGGTAGGCACGGAGTGTATCGACACCTTTTCGCTGCGATCCAGTACATCGGATCCATCAATCCTAGTGATCCGAACCAGATGGAGCCAGTAACCTTCGAGCGGACGCTAACACCGACGATCATCCGGACTACTCCACGGAGGACGTTAGACACTTGCTGGCTGAGCACGACTCAGACGAGTGAAATTATCTCGACCTGGACAAAATCTTCCCTGAAAACTCTGATCTGGGAGATTTTTTGGCAGCTCACAGGGACAATGGCGAAGTGTCGTTTGACGACGATCTCGAATCAATAACCTCCGCAATCAGCAAGCAAAGGAAGAAGAGGAGGAAGCTGAAGTCGAGTCCACGACTAAGGAAGACCACGAAAAAGAAGCAGCAGAAAGCGAAGGAAGTGAGGACGAGGAGAGCGAACCATCGTCAGAAGAGCACAAAGTAGTGCCGCCAACAAGCTCACAACTAACTGTACCTAAAGAAGCGGCTAGTCGCCACGATGGCGTGAAATCCTCTCATCGCTGCTGACGGTCTCGCTCACCATCTCCCTCCTCTTTTGTGGCTTCGCCCCCTC